ATCATCTTTTTTCATTATGCCAGGAGAGGAAGGTCTGTCGGAGATGGAGACCTACGAGCAGAAGGTGCGTGAAGCAATGGACTTAGCCTTGGAGAAGTCTGTTCAGACTCGCACCAATGCCCTTACAGCTCTAACAACCGCTTTCCAGAAAAGGTTTGCCATTGTCCTTTTTCGTAAATTTATGTGATACCTCATTCAACATACGAGTATTCTGCGTGTCTGTGATGTTAGTCTTATGTTAGCCCTTTTTCTCTCTCTCCCCTCCACCAGGGTGATGACACAATTTCTACTTGACAACTACCAGACAATTACCGACTTAGTGGAGCGTTCATTGAGGAAGGGTCGAGGTCCCGAGCAAGTGGCTGCAGCACGTCTGGCCACGATGCTGGTTGTAAGCCTCTCGCCCGTCGCTGAAGCTGAGAAGGTCTGTTTTTTCTTTCTTTTTCTTTCCATGATACCGAGATGTGGTTAGTATGGAAATAAAAGATATATATGTAGGTGTGTGTGTGTGTTTTTATGTATTTTGCCATGGTAGAATTCATAGGTTTTATTTGATAGTTCTATTTGTATTTGTATTGATATATATGTATGGACACCGATAAATCTATATTATTCTCTTTACTCTCCATAGGTTTTCAAGACCCTAAACCCCATTCTGACAGTGTTGGTGACAGATCCCTCCGCAGCAGTGGCAGCACGACAAGATGGTGCATTAGCAATGGCTTTGTCATCATTCTTAGCATGCCATGATCTTGCGGATGTTACTGCTGCCATGAACACTCTTCATTCTCTGTTTGCCGGATCACTTCCAAAGGTAATAGTGGGATTGGTAGAGGTTATGTCAGTGGTTTTCAAACCCTATATGAGGGTGACAGGTTGCATCCAGAAAGGTTGAAATAATGCAGGTGTATATTACTTTTGATAATGGGCATTTGTTATTCCTTTTGATGGATGGTAAAGTATATGATTTGGCTAGTTTTGTTTGATCAGAAAATCTATTGATTGATTCCAGCTTATTCAGATAATGATAACTTTTGTGTCTGTTATCCCTTGTAAGAAAAACTATCTAATAAATTTTTTCCTTCTTTTCACTAGGGTAATGGAGAATTGCCCAACCATCCTCCAGCAGTTTCCGCCATGCATACAGCGGCCCTAAATGGTTTCTGTTTGTTGTTGTGTCTCTTGTCACCCACAACAATTTACACAATGGCTAACAAGTATGTTGTTCCTATTTATTGTTTAAAAGTAATAAAAGAATTTGACAGTTCAGTTAAAAAGATTGCCATCATGGACTGAAGGTCTTTTAATCAGTGTCAGTCAATGCTGGGTGTTAGCGGTATCAGTGATATTGATAGGCCTCACTGTTTATCTCTCTTATGTTGTTCCTCAACATTTTCTAGCATGTACACCACACTGACAGGTAAATTCTTTACATCATCCTTTTGAAAGTAGTGCAGTAATTATTTTTAATAAAAGGATGCTGAGCTGTAGATTGCATTCTTGCGATGCAGTTTCTCCTGCAGGTGTCTCCACCACATAGCCCTACTTCTTTGTATTGTAGGTGCTTTGCTGTTTTATGTGACTTTGCATCTTACTGTAACTAGCTGTACATGTCAACCAGTTCAGCAGTTTATTTTTTTTCTTTTCTTTTCTTTCTCTTTCTCTTATGAAATGCTCATATATCTAAGGCAGTGTGGTGTTGATTATTGCAATTTATGCCTTTTCTACAATATCACTGTGAAACCCAATATGCATTGGTTTCATTGGCTTCTGGTGCTTACTGCTAGGTGCTAACTGACACAGAGTAGTTTAATCTTAATAGAAAGTTGTGAAGAAAAATTAAAACCTTTTCCTTGTCATTATTATGTCAATTTCTTATCTCTCTCTCTCCAGATTAGTGAAGGAGATGTTCGATCTTCTGGGAAGTAGTGATTTGGACCTACGTATTCAGGCAGGTGAAGCTGTAGCTTTGATTTATGAGACCGCTCGAATACATGATGAGGATTACTCCTGGAATCGAGAAGCAGATCTTTGCTCTGTTCTGAAAGGTAATTTTACCCAGTATGGGTATTTATTTCAGGTTTCAGTTAAGATTTAGTTTTAATTCTTGGTAATAGTTCCCTAGTCCATGCTTCAGCAACATAATAAATTGTACTTTTCAAAATTAATTCTCCTAAATACTAAATGCAAACAAAAAATTCTTTGTGATGATTATCTCTTATGTTCACTTCTGTTGCAATTATACTTGAGATTGTTATTGTAGTGGTCAGAGTTTGAAGTGATAGAAAAGAAAGAGAATAATTTAGGATCCCATTCAATCCAAGACAACACACATGACATTTTAGAATATAGATCAGCATCAAAGTACAGGAGGGGAGGGAGAGTATTGATAAATGAGGATGATGGCAAAAATACTGGGGAAATTATAGATTTATGAATATAACCTGAACAAATCTCAGACTCTCAGAAAAGATAGCAAATGAAAATTTAAGTCTTCCTCTCTTTCTCTCTTAGAATTAGCTACAGATTCCCACCGATTCCGAGCAAAAAAGGACAGGAAGCAGCAGAGAGCATCTTTCAGGGATGTTGTGAGGACAGTGGAAGAAGGGGAACAGCTGTATGAAACAGTGTTTGTGGGGCCACAAAATCAACGTCAAGAACTGATCCTCGATACTTGGTCATTAAAGTGGCAGTATTCCTCCTTGTGTCACATCATAGGGCAAGGGATAAGTGTTCACATTTCTTACAATATTGGGGTAAGTGAAGTCAGCACAAGAAATTGATATATATTATTGTTGTATATTTGTATCAGTTATTTTCATCTGTCAGCACTGCTTTTGTTACTAGGAATGTCCCCTTATTGTCTCAAAATATAAAATGTTTTTAAATAAATTTGACCTGATGATAGGAATTCTTGCACATAATTATGAAAAGCATTAAAATTTTTCTTTGTCTACTCAGATCAATGTAACCTCACTCTGGTCTCACAACAGGAAAATTTTTGCACACACCAGTTAAATAAATGAATATATTATTTCAAATTAGTGAATATTTTTCTATTGGTTTTGTGTAAGTCCAGTTTCTTGACTGCAAAATGGCAAATTGGTTGCTTAATTGTATTTTGTAATGTTTTTTTATTTCTTATTTATTTTTTTTTTGTTTCCAGATACGTGACATATTTGCATTGGGACCACCACCAATCCAAATGGACCATGGAATGGCACTGCTAGCACGAAAAACCCAAAAAAGACCAAACCGGGAATCTCCAGCCAGCAAAGCTCGACAGATGGCACGCAACAAGAACCGTGACAATAGACAGGCAGCCAAAATATATGAAGATTAAAACTTTCTCTTATATTTTTGTATCAGTTTACATCAACAACTATCCATCTTTGTTTTCTTTCCTTTTCTTTCTTTCTTCTGCTTTTGAAGGGAGCAGTGGATTAATGTGTATGCAGATGGTTTTCTTTAAGGATCACTTATTTTGTAGTTTTCTGAAGTCTGACGACCTAATGCTTGGGGACGGAGACTAAAATTTGTTTTTCTGCAAATTTGTGTGTGTGAGAAAATGGATGGAGGAATATTTGATATCTCTACAGACGTACATAAGCGTATGTGCGTGTTTTAAATACATCTGTTGTCAATACATATTATCATACACAAATATATCTGTACTTAGGATTTTATTATTCCTTTCTGTTTTTTCACAGATATTTGTAGGTCAGCCTGTGAATAAGAAAAACAGTGAAACAGGACTGAAATGGAATTACATATTCTAAAGATGTAGTTTAGTTGGTTTGTAGCAAATAATACACACATGATTTTCTTTACTCTCCCTTTATTTCATTCATGCTTATTTTATATAAGAAATATGCTGATCAGATGAAAGAAGTGTTTTTCATTTCAGTCTATGGAATAGACTAATATATACTTGTATAAATTATGACTATTATTTCTTTTTTGAAATATTCTATTGTTTCACTGTATTGACAAATTATATAAAATTTGGAGGGATGTTATTGTGTGTTTGATGCTGGTTAGACTTAAAGATGATCCTATCCCTGTTCAGTTGTTCTTCATTCTACTCTTGATTTGGAGGCATCTCCTGTAGTAAAGTCATGGGGAAGCTTCTAAAATTTCTTGGTTTTCCCTTTCCCAGTGATTATTCAAAGGATGTTTATAGAAATATCTTGCAACCATGCCTTGCTGCTATTAATACTATATTTGCCCTTTGTGATGTAGTAAATAAATTAAAAGAGCATTTATGATTATCTTTTTCCCAAGCTTTAGTCATCATTTAACCATTAACCCCCTTGGTGCCGGGTGACACCGATCGGCGTGTTAACAAACCGCTCGAAAGCTGGCGTGCGGCTGTACGGCACGGCAAAGCGCAGCGAGCAAGTGATTCAGGCTGATGTCCCCTACTCATGCACTCAAAGTCGGCGTGCCGCCTTTGTTTGCTAGAGTGTTGTTTTTTGTTTTGTTTTGTACACCCGGCGTCATTGGGTTAAATGGTGGGTAGCATAACATAACCTTGTCAGGAAGGATATGTTCAAATCGGAGACAGGTGGAATTTTGCCTAAAAGGATCACTCTGCTACTCTGTCTTTTGTGTAAGGGTTAAGTAAAAGACAAGAAAGTGGACACAAAGCCAGACTTTCATCCTTTCAGCATGCCTGTTACACCTTTGGAAGTGGACAGGAGGAGGGCGTGGGGGGAAAAAAGGAAAAAGAAAGGGGAAGGACATCATACCATGCAAAATAAGTTAAGGCTGAGGCTTATGGAAGGGGTGATCCCCAGCTCCCATCTCCCAAGTTCCCTCATGTTAACAACAGGGGGAATGATGCTATGTGTTGTAAGTTTAGTAATTCTTCACACAATTTGATAGGGTAAACCCAACAGTGCCAGGTGTAAAGAATAAATGAAAAATTAATACTCTTAGAGATTTCTGGCAATGGTCTGGGCAGGGAAGTCCGCTACATCAAGCCAAACATCCCACTTTTTAAAAACCTATAAAAGATGCACACAAAAGTAATGCAAATCTTTCTAAGATTATTTCACATACAACTGAAAAATGGAGAACTGTGTTTTTTGAGAATAAATAGTATCACAGAAAGTATAAGAAAAACTCAATAACAAGTTATATCTTTATACAGGTGAAATTGCATTTATTTTATAGTTGTATCAAGAAAATATTTCCTCTTTTTTTTACAGAATATTTAATTTTGTCCACATGGAAAAGATATATATAATTACCTATTTTATTAACAAACAGTTTAAAAAGAACATCACTCTAATCTGGCTTTCAAATAATTTGAGCATATCTACTTTTTTTCTTGCCACCAGAAAGCATAAGAATTTACAAAGACCTGTTCTATGCCATCTCTAGTGTCAGAACATAAAACTGAAACCATTTTAATCAAGCAAATGAATACATCTCAAAGCTGCTGCTCTTTTTCCCTTCAACCTAAAGTACATTCATTATATGGTTGATAAGCAATGCTATACTTTCTACTTTAGTCCGTAACTAGTAAATAAAAAGGCCTAAAACTCTGTAAAAAAATTCTCAGAATATATATATACATACATCACTTCTAGGTTATATATTTGTGTTAGCCTATTTACAGAATATTGGTGGGAAACTCCTCCAGTAAATATATTTAGAACTCTGGCTTGGTATCTGACTGCATCTGTTGCATCATCTGAAAAAAAGACAAATATTTAATCCAAATTATATATATACAGTAAAAAATAATAATAATAATAAAAAATAATATAAAATAAATAAATAAATAAATAAATAAATCCATATGACATGTCCATACAACTTCTGACTTACTTAAAAAATTCTGATAAAATAAGGTGTATGCTTTAATCAACACGACTGATTATTCCTACATAAGCTTTAATACAAAATTAACATAGATTAAAATGCTGATAAAAAAACAAATCCTCAGACAGTTCACCAACTTACCGAAGTTATTTTACTTAAGCTATTTGGGGTGAGCTGCGACAGTTGCTGTAGCATGTTCTTAAGGCGCGGTTCCTTTTCTGGAGTTTCACCTTCCCCTGGCTTGGCTGTTAGGTATGGGTGTTCTAACAACTCTGAGATGCTAGGACGTTTTCGCTGATCAAATTGCAAGCACAGCTGCAACACCTCTAACAAGAGTTTATTCTCAATTTCGGGGAAGTTTATTTTAGTATTAGGATCAGAGATTGCTGACAGCTTTTGCAGGGGGTTGCTTATATGCTGGAATGGTGTACGGCCATATACCAAATTATACAAAATACAACCTAATGACCAAACATCTGACTTCACACCAATCTGAAAAGAAATAATATTAAGTCAATCGATGAGTATGAGGGAGGGAGAGAGAAAAAAAGAAAGAGAATAGAAGGGAGGAAGGGAGAGGGAGAGGAGGATGGAAAACGAAAGGGGGATTGACAGATGAAGTGAAAAAAATAAAGTTTAGGGGAAAGATATTCTCCATAAATTGTATGTCACAGAAACTGATATAAAGTGAAGGACAAATATTTAGTGTTTTTTCTACAATGCTTTTATCACTCATACTCTATAATGCAATGCATGAGCCAATATGCAAACTGGTCCATCAACATCTTTATATAACAGAAAAGATTGAATATCTAAGCCCCAAAACATGGCGAAATACTAAAAAGTAAACTCCACAGAACCCTAAATTACTGAAAAGCAGGTGAATGAAACAAACACGTTAGGTGCTGTATGAGGTTGCTTTGACAAAAGGCTCATCCTAGAAGCCCAGCAGGATAAAGATATCCCTGGCTGCCCATCACATGACATCCAATCATATTAATAATCTTAAAGGAAAAGACAAATCAATAACATTAAGAGGGAATCAAATACCTTAATAGTTGGACGGTCCCCAGAACGACCATTGATAATTGGGCCTGAATGCACATCCAACAAAGATTCTGGGCTCATATAATTAAAGGTTCCAGCCTGAAAAAATCAAGTCAACATTAGTCCATTAGTGTAATTTTCATATAGATAAACGTGTGTATTCATATTCTTATATGTAAATATATCTAAAATGTGTATGCCTGTGTGCATATGTTATTTATGTATGTAAAGATATGCAGAGGAATATAAACAGGTAGACAGATACATTCCTGAAATTTCATAATATTACTCTTATGATACTACTAAGCTGTCAATGTTAATCTAAAACAGCAGTTCTCAAGCTGTATGTTGTGACAAATAAGTATGTAGCAGCTGTCATATATTTCTTAGATATGAAGTTGTCTTTGAAATTATTGTTTACTGTGAAAATGTAGGAAGTGCAGATCAGTCTAAAAAAATGTTATTTGCAAAGCTTTATATATTTTTTTTAACTCCACATTCATTGTACTTTTGGCATATCCGGTTTGTACTTAAGTAATGATGCCTTACCTGACTATCCTTAATCACACTTGTCATGTCTTGCTGAATGGAAGATGCAATACCAAAGTCAATCAGCTTTACAGTCTCATTTACAAGTAGAAAGTTGGCAGGCTTCAGGTCCGAGTGAATGATACCTGGAAACAAAAGTATTATGGACATGAACACAAGTTGATACATACAAAGGAATGTACTAAAATAGCAATTCACATACATCATTTACCAGCATCTGGCATATGATGAAGGTAGGTAACGTCATATTTAAATTTATCTAAAATTTCTCATCTCTGTCAATCATGTTTAGTAACTACGTACACTCTAATGAACACAAAGCTGGTGGCAACAGCATGTTAAATATATCTTAAAGGTCCACTGTGGAAGCCACAGGTGATTGTAATCAAATGTGTCACATTCCTTTATCTTTCAATATAGGTATACTGCTGCTCTTGGATTATTGCCATTAAAATTAAGCTTTTGTATATGATGCAACACCAAATTCCTTCTGACTCCAGAGAGAACATTTCCTCTATCATCAGCCGCCCCACCTCTTTTCTTAACATACTATGTATAAAATTCAAATTATTCTAATATATGGCATGTAAGAAAAGAAACCTCTACTCCTCCATTTTCCTTAAGGAATCATATAAATGTCTTCCATTACTTGTCACATCTTGGTGAGTCTGTCACTCTTCTCTCCCTATACCTCTTGGTCTATCAGTCTGTCTCTCTCTGTCTATTTTCCCCCTTTCACACGATGGTTAAATAATTCTAGGATATACAAACACAAGACATACTATGTCAGTATAAGCTTTACAAATAATCAAAGATCAAAATTGGCCTCTCTTATATGTAACTTTGATGGCTACTGGCTCAGTAGAAAGGCGAAGAAACTGTGGCTTTTCAACGTTGGATTTAACCAAGCTTTGTTTTTTTTTGTTTGTTTTTTTTTCCCCATACCATTCCATTCCATCAGCCTATTAAATTGTAGTTCATTTATTCTAGCCAGTAAATATCATATTACACAAAATACTGACAGGAATTAAACACTAACCTTCCTGGTGGATTGCCTGTACAGCCAACAGCATGCCTTGCCAGTAATGCTGGATTGTAAATGGTGAGATCGGTTTGGCATTTTTACCTCGAGCGCTATTCAAGATGGATGCCAGGTCCCTGTTTCCTTTTTCCATAACTAGTTTCAGGTGAATATCACTAAGTTCACTGAAAAAAGGAGAATGTAAAAATATTTTAATACATTTACTCAGGTAATATTCTGAAAATCTGGGACAAGTTCTACCCTACACTGATTCTTCAAGGTCCCAAGAAATGACACCATATGCTGCTGTTCAGGTAAATAGTAAAGCCAATTTGCTCTCAAAACTTCAACATACCTATGCACCTAGGCTTTTAAGCTTGACAGGTAAGCAATGGAATTACTAGTTACTTTCCACTTAAGATTTTAAAAGTATGAAAGTAGGTGGAGCCCTTTAAAATATATATAATTTTGCCTTGTGCTGGAATATGCTTTAAGGTTTCTAAAGGTTGTTAACATTTTTTTTATGGATTTCCAGTATATTTATGTGATATTTAGGCTTGACTGACTTGGAGACCTCAATCATATGAAAATAGAAGCAAATAGTTTTAACCATGAAATGGAAACCCAGAATTCGTGAACTTGGACTATTTTTACTGTATTTGTTTCATGACTTACATTAAAAATTAAAAGAAATAATGAATATGGAAACACAGACAGACACCCAAGCATTGTTATAGACATTGAATCAAACAAACCCTAAGTTTTCCATGTTTTTCCTGTGTTCCTTGTCACAGCCACTCTTGCCTATTTTCCTTATCAGCACCAAACTTAATCAATAAATAAGTTTTAGGTCTATATTACATACTTGACATGATGTTTTTTAACAATTCTGTACTAAACTACAGGCCACAAAAAATCATATATTGGATACACAGAACAAATCAATCTTGGTTTGCACTGCATCTGAGAACAGCAGAAGCCAAGGACTGGCCCAGGTGTTAGTAACTCTAATAACAGCAAAATTCAGTTAACCAGTCTAATGCATTCCCTAAGCTTTTAAAATAAGAGAGAGTTTACTGTACATTGTAAGACAAGGAGAGACAACAGGGAGACTTTTTTTTTTTTTTTGATTACTCTATAATCTAGAATAATTCATACTTACTAGTCATACAGCTGAATAACCTTATCAGACCACTGCAGTCTATGAAGTATGTCTATTTCATTCTTATAAGAATGAAGAGTAGCTTCATCTACACCCTCAAGTTCAACAACTTTAATTGCCTTCACTTTACGTGTGTCAAGATCCAGTACCTGTATAGATATCCTCAATTAAGTAATTCAACATTACAAAAATATATGAATATACTGGAAAAAGGAATTCATGTATGGTACATTATGCACAAGTAATCACTTATGAACCATTTACTAAAGCTACAGTCTATATACATCTTGATTCCCTTTTCTTTCTAAACAGCTAGTAAACATCTTTAAAATAACACATCTACAATGCAAGACAGTTTCCAGAAATATATTCATCACATTCTACCTCTT